CTTTGGAAAACACTCAGGACCCCACTGTATTTTTTCATCTATTCACAGTGAAATTCTGTTTTCTTTTTAATATATTTTTTATTGATTTCAGAGAGGAAGGGAGAAGGAGAGAGAGGTAGAAACATCAATGATGAGAGAGAATCATTGGTCCTCTGCCTCCTGCATGCCCCACACTGGGGATCGAGCCCACAACCCGAGTATGTGCCCTGTCCGGAAATTGAACTGTGACCTCCAGGTTGATAGGTTGACAGAAGGGAGAAGGAGAGAGAGGTAGAAACATCAATGATGAGAGAGAATCATTGGTCCTCTGCCTCCTGCATGCCCCACACTGGGGATCGAGCCCACAACCCGAGTATGTGCCCTGTCCGGAAATTGAACTGTGACCTCCAGGTTGATAGGTTGACATTCAACCATTGAACGCTCTTGTGGCTATTTGAAGTTTCTGTTGTTTGAAGAAATTTTAAAATCTTTACACAGTTATGCATAAATTTAGCTACTATTGTTGAATCACTCCTAACTATATTCTCCAATGTGGCTGCAATTCTGACAGTACCTAAACAATAAAGTATTATAATTAGATAGAAATTAAATAACTAATTCTCTCTATATTCTATATTTTCATTTTATTTTTATCATATTCATATCAAGATGCATTTTTATTTCCTTTAAAGCCTCTTACATTCTTTTCCTTTTTACCTTTTCCTCCCCAGAAGTTTTTATATTCTATTGTTTTTCATTTCTTGGTAAAATCTCCCTGTTTTGCTCTGCATTTCCATCTTTGCCAAAGCTACTTTTCAGGGTTTTGATAATTAACTCAGTTTTCTTCTACTTTTTCTGATTTGGAGGATGGTTTTTCCTAGTGTCCTTAAAATTGCTTCCTAATAGGATAGCCCACTCACTTGACCTTGTGGACATGACTGTATTACAACACAGTAATTGTTGTTCATCAAAATGACCTTGAGATATCATGAAAATATTAAGTTGTTCTAAGAGTATTACTTTGCTTATGTACTAGCTTTTTATTGGAAGACTAGAGGCCCAGTGCACGATATTTGTGCACTGGTAGGGTCCCTAGAGGCTGTAGGCTGCCAACCTGGGCCTCCCTCCCTTCCCCTGGCCGGCCCTGCTCCCTGGTTGAACTCCCGGATGACCTTCCAGTCAAGGGGGCAATTTGCATACTACACTTTTATCATATAGGATTTCTGTGCTGCCCAAGAAAGGGTCCTTGCCTCCAGGACCTTACCCTCAAATGGGTAATATGCATGGGAAAAGGTGTAACACAATATGGCATGCCTTGCTATAACGCAGGTACCTAAAGAGATATGAGGACCAAGAAATCATTTTCTGCTAGGCTGGGCTGAGCCATTTTCATGAGCGATTTGGCTGGGATTTGAGTTGAACATTGAGACTTGGAAGTAATTTTAAGAAGAAAAGAGGGGCACAGATAGATCATTCTCAGAGGGAAGCCTGCAGGACGCAGCCAAGGAGAATCAATCACAGTGGCTGCATCAGAAAGTTCATGTGAGGTGATAATGGTCATAAACCTGGGAAAGCCCATGAGCGCCCCATCGGCGGGGGCTTCGTTAGCTAGTCTAACATGGTGTATTTAATTAGAGGCCCTAGGAATCTGTGGACTTTTTTTTTTACAAAAGCAGGGTGGTGACTGATCAAAGCAGTCATCGGAAGAGGCATAGGATGGAGGCATGCGGCCTGGATTAGATGGGGACTGGATGGAGGCAACGTGCCCAGCTTGGAGATCGCTGCCATAGTCCAGGTGTGAGCTCACGCAGGCCCCATTTAGGTTCCGGTCGGAAGTCTGCTATTGTGAAGGACGAGGGTATACTTTTCAAAGAGGAAGAGGAACTAGTTTGAAAGGAAAGGTGATTATTGGAGAGTGGGGGTGGGGTGCGGATGTTGGATCATCCCAGTAGAATTTGCCAGCGCTGGGTTGAGAGTGTGGGCCTAGTGCTCACACCTGCATACTGGAGCGTGGGCCAAGTTTGCCTTCGTACTGACTTTCCAGGCATAGGAAAGGGAAGAAATGCTGTTTGGAAAACTTTTTTTTTTAAATTTTCTTTCTCACTAGTCATTGTCTTCCTAAGGAAGCAGGGACCTGGGTTTCTTTTTATTTATTTTATTTTTAAAATATTTTTATTGATTTCAGAGAGGAAGGGAGAGGGAGAGAGACAGAAACATCGATGATGAGAGAGAATCATTGGTCTGCTGCTGGCTGCCTCCTGCACGGCCCTCAGTGGGGATTGAGCCCGTAGCCTGGGCATTTGCCCTGACTGGGAATCGAACCAGCAACCTCCGCCGTGGTCAGCAAACTGCAGCTCGCGAGCCACATGCGGCTCTTTGGCCCCTTGAGTGTGACTCTTCCACAAAATACCACATGCGGGCGCACATACAGTGCGATTGAAACTTCGTGGTCCATGCGCAGAAGTCAGTTTTCGGCCTGGGCGAGTCTATTTTGAAGAAGTACTATTGATATTTGGCTCTGTTGACTAATGAGTTTGCTGACCACTGTCCTAGTGCATGAGTGGAGCTCAACCAACCGAGCCACACTGGCTCTGGGTTTCTTTTCAAATAAGGATAGGGAGGGCCTTGTAGATGGAAGGTTCTGGTAGTAACTCCTAGGAAATTACTAGCAACACTCTCTTGATGTCAAATTTTCGGTGATGGTTAAAGAAACTCTGCAGGGAAAAATGGTTTATCTAAGTTCATATTCTCAATCCCTTTATTCTCAGACATGGCTCAGACAGTCTGGTTGCTTTGACTTGGTTTTCTATGACTATAGCATCAGTAATGTCTTCGAAGAAGGTGATGGGTGTGCTTCTGTGGGTGCAATTAATATTATTCTTATTATTTAACCTCTTATGGTAAAAAGTAGTTGCGTTTATTATTATAAATACCCTGGATTGGAACCCTAATTTAGCCAAACTATTTGGATGGGTTTATCTCAAGCGATAATGCACAACCCCCTTTTTTTAAAGTCATGCACACTGAGCCAATTTTCAGTGGTTATAAGTGGGGAGGTCTTCCTTCCTGTGGAATTAGCGGTAGCTGAGGATTTGAGTCTGTACCATCTTGCAATCCGCTAATGTGATATTTACCGAGGAGGCATCAGTCTGGAGAAAGGTAGTCAATATAAATCAGTGTTGACAAAGTGTGATTAACTCTGAAATATTTCATCAATGCCGCGGTCCCAGGCAGCCTCTATGCTAATTACTAGTCTCTGTGCCTAGTTTCAGGGGACTCGGACAGACCCTGGGCACAGCAGACACAGAGCAGCAAAATTGCAATTATGCTCAGACCGTCTCTGATGACAATTTATGCATTTGGTGTGATGACCTCCCCCTTCCCAAGAGGGCAATAAACAGGATGCATTTTCATTAAGATACTAATGCACTTAATCACCAGGGGAAAGGGTTAGGAAGGAGCGGGAGACCTTCCAGGGCTGTGGGATGGAGCTGATGGGGAGAGAGGCTTTATTCTAAAGGCAGCTCTGGGCAAAGCTGGAGGCAGGCCCGGGGCGCCTCCCACACGCTGTCAGTGCCACTCATTGAAAAAACCAATTCCAGATGAACTTTGGATCTTCTTCCGGCTACATGCCGTGTGGAATGTGTCAGCACTACCACTAAGTGTAAACTCGGATGATAAAAACACAGTTTCACCGCAATGTGTTCTTACCCATAACACTTTCACGGGGCTGGGGAGTTTGTATCTCCTTCTGCAAGTGGTGTAACAAGGGTGATGAGGATGGTGATGATGAAGATGAAGATCACTGTTTACCAATAAGAAGCATTTACCAAGCATTGAGTTGTTTTGTAAGACTGTGGTTCAGGTCACAGCAAGAATCAGGGAACGTCAGGCATGGCTGCCCTCTAGGAGCTTCCTGCAAAGTCCCAAATGAGCCCGCCGATTATTGTCCACAATGAAGTTTATGTCAAAAACGCAATATGCCTGCCTGGCTGATGTGGCTCAGTGGTTGAGTGTCAGCCCAGGACAGTGATGGCGAACCTTTTGAGCTCGGCGTGTCAGCATTTTGAAAAACCCTAACTTAACTCTTGTGCCGTGTCACATATAGAAATTTTTTGATATTTGCAACCATAGTAAAACAAAGATTTATATTTTTGATATTTATTTTATATATTTAAATGCCATTTAACAAAGAAAAATCAACCAAAAAAATGAGTTCGTGTGTCACCTCTGACACACGTGTCATAGGTTTGCCATCACTGGCCCAGGAAGTAAGAGGTTGCCAATTCCATTCCTGGTCAGGACACATACCTGGGTTGTGGTTCCATCCCCTATAGGGAGTGTGCAGGAGGCACCCGATCAATGCTGTTTCTCATTGATGTTTCTATCTCTCTCCCTCTCCCTTCCATTCTGTCTAAATATCAATAAAACATATTGAAAAAAAAAGACAATATGCCTGATGCATCCCAGCATTAGTCACCCAAAGAAACCCAGACCTAGCTAAAGACCATAGATGCATGCCCCACGGACACCAATAGTTTGGTGAAGGCCTAGGAAGGTGGAGAAAGGGATGGATGGATGGAGGTGGGCAAAGGGTGGGGAAGAGGGGACAACTGCAATGATGTCAGCATTACATTTTTTAATAAAAAAAGAGAAATCCAGGCTTGACGATACAAGAAGATAGTTGTGATGCTTGAGGTTTCATAGAAATAATTTGCTTCAAAATGTCTTTGGATCCTGAGATCCCGGAAGACTGGGTCTTGGCCCAGGTGAGTAAGCATCAAGTGAAAGACTCATTCTTAAGAGGAATTTTTGAAGAGCTTCACCAGATAGCTTCTCGGTGCTCAATGTGTCTTCAGTGGTTGTCACAGAGCATCCAGCCTCGTGACACTTGTCACATCCTCGTGCCTATTATTTAATTTTGCGGGAAGGGGACAGGAGTCAGCCCCTGCCTGGGGATGCTCACATTTCCTGGGTCTTGCCCATCTGACAGATTGTTTCCTCCCGACCCTGTGTTTCAGGTAACATAGAATACAGCTGTCCTGCTACGAACGAATGTGAAATCACGAAGCGCCGGCGTAAATCCTGCCAAGCTTGCCGCTTCATGAAGTGCTTGAAAGTGGGCATGCTGAAGGAAGGTAAGGCCCCTGGGCGGCAGCCCTGCGCTTCAGGCTGGGAATGGGAGGTGGGGGGGGGGCGGCACAAGGAACTGTCACAATGTGAGAGAAACCAGGAAAAGATATGGGGGTCATGGTAAGTGCCCCGAATCTCAGGGCGGAGCGCCTCTTCTTTATCTGACCTCTCTGATACCTCGTGGCTAGCTGCTGACATCGACAGGAAGGGACAAGGTAGGACATACCTGTTGTTTGGCTCAACCCACCAGGTAGGTTTGGGCAATTCTGGTTTTCTTCATCCTTACAATTTCCAGAAGGCGGAAGATGGAGAGCAACCAGGAAGCGACTGTTACTGTCTTTCTGCATTTCTTCTCTATATCAGGTTCGCAGAGAGATTTTTCCCATCTTTATTGAGCTAGGATTGACAGAGTGTATATTTAATATGCCCAAGTTGCTGTTTTGATATACATGTATTTTGTAAAATAATTGCTATCATGTAGCTAATTAACATATCCATCACTTCATGTAGCTACCATGTTCTTCTTGCTTAATTAATCTTAGATTTAAAGCACGGTTATTGTCTTCTTATCTTTTGGATTGATTTTCTATTATGAAGAACTTGCAGTCATGACATTAACATTGTTGCTCTCAGTTGGAGAGAATAGCAACAAACACAAGCTAATAACCGTGGGTATGTACTCTGTGCTGAACACACTGACTAAGCTCACACAGCCGGGAACTGGAAGCAAATTGTCAGATTCTTGAATTTGCTCAACTCCCACCCATATCAAAGGTCCTGAAATATTTGTGTATATCAGCATATCTGTGAAACTAACATTCTCGCTCAGAGAAAATTTGTGTGTGTGTGTGTTTTTAAATTTGAAAACCCTAGATTTAGCTGTGTGTGTGGGTTTTTTTTTTTTTAATGTATCTTTGTGCACAGGGGTGCCTTTATGAATGCGCATGTTACATACCGCCTTTGAGTTATACTATCTCCTTCTCTTCAGAAAATTTGCCAGAATTTAAACTAAATATGATAACTTTATAAAGGAACAAAATGAAAGCGTGGTCATTGACATTTGAGAGAAAATGAGGTAAAGTAAATATTTAAATGTACAGCTTCTGCGAAGTCAGAGACTCTGCCTCCTTAGGGTTGGCTCTGTGAGTTTGTCTGTTGTGTTGTTACTGGCGATCACTGGCTTTTTAACCTCCCCGTTTAAAGATCCACGTGTGTTCCCCAAGAACGAACCGGGGCTTCACTCGGCGTGGCATTGCCCACCTCATCACTTTTCCTGGTTTGTTCTTATTCCACGAGTTTTACGGGAGCAGTGTGATAGGACAATGAGTAGATCAGATCATTTGGGGGTGGGGGTATGGAATTCACACCGTGTTTCTCTGTGGCTTGTCCACTGAGAACGAACTCCTTCCTTGATAGGAACAGAAAAAAGCTTAATGAAGAGTCAGGAGCTGAGAAGTCATTGTTTTCAAAGAGCAAGTCCATTTTTGAAAGTGTTCTGAAAGTAATAACATGAATTAACAACTTTTGAGTTGATGTATCCTAGATATTGATTTTATTTTCAAAATCTGGAGCATACAGGAATACACCTCCATTTCCAGTTGGATAGAAATGTTCTGATCAGTTTGATTTTACTGCTGCAATTTACACGACTGTGTGTCCTTCCAGGTATGAGAAGGATAGAAAACAATATTTTGCCCCGAATACTTTTACCCTCTTGTGGTTCTTAAGCAGGAGCCATCTTGAAAGGTGCTTAGAGCGACTCAAGAGCTGTGAATTGTGTCTAATTAAATGTTGGTGAAAGGCAATGGGTGTGGTGCTTATGTAATATTCATGCCTCCTCAGATCGAGCCTGTAGAGGGTCTCTCTTCAAGGAAATGGCTGCTGTGGCTGATCTACTCATGTAATAATTCATTTTCCTCTACCCCCTTATGCCTACTTTGATGGGCAAATACCAGTTCTCTAAGGCCCTTCCCCCAAAGAGAGAGGATGGAATGGTTATGAGCAAATACGGAACGCTCTTTTATTTTTGTACTTGAAAACAAAATGCAGTGACAAACGGCATATAAATGCACAATTCTGCATGGCCATCGCCTTGGCTGCAGACCGGCCCTCTCCGCCTGGGAGAATGATCCCCTCTTAAGTGTGTCTTTATGGATGGAGAGGGAGTTGAGTCCCAGGCAGTGTGTCAGGGATCAGGATGTAGTAAATCTATTCAAATGTAAACCTGTTCAATTCAATTACCAGCCCCTAATAAAATTTGCTGCTACAACCCCCGTGTTGACCACGGCGGTCCACGCAGGCTGGTGGCTCAGCGGGTCTGGAAATTGACAGACACAATCTATTTAAACAAAAAACAACATTAGTTCTCAAATCTGAAATGAAATCAGGTTTCCACAGCTCTGATGGGGACCTTCTTTCCTTTAACAGGTATTTTCTTTAGTCAACTAGCCAAATGCATCTTAGATAATGCCTTCCTGAGGGAAATGAAGTTTCTTTCCAAAGGGCGATTTATAGAAAAATGAGACTTTCACTCTTTAAAAATAATAATTCTTTATTGATCGCCATTTCCTTTTTTTGTTAATCCTCACATTATTAACAAAATAATATTTTTGTTAATAATGTGAGGATATTTTTCCATTGATTTTTAGAGAGAGGGAAAGACAGAAAGAAACATCGATGTGAGAGAAACACATGGACTGGTTGCTTCCTGCAGGAGCCGGGGCCACGGCCCAGGCCGGGGAGGAGTCTGCAACCGAGGTACATGCCCTTGACTGGAATCGAACCCGGGACCCTTCACTCCTCAGGCTAAAGCTCTATCCACTGAGCAAAACCAGCTAGGGTTTGATCACAATTTCTGCTAAAGACCTGGGTTGCAAAAGGGGAGTGATAGCTCAGTGAGTGACCAATTCCAGTTATGTTATATTGCATATAATCAAATTCCTACCAGACATGCCTTCTCATGAGCCAGCACCAGAATAGTATCTGAATGAATGACATTCGATTTTAAAGTTAGAATTTTTGAATGAAAAAAACTGTTACTAGTTGAAGCCATGAAACAGATGTGTGGAGAAACAACAAAAAACCGCAATATAACAAAACTCCAAGAAGTACACTTAAAAAATGATAGTTTCTGCAAATCTGAGTGGTTACACCATTCCACATCCTGAAGAATTCTCCTTTTTTTTTGGTCTCGGGCTCTACTTTGCTGGTAAGCCTCAGGAATGATGGGCCTGCATGATGTTTACGGCATCATCCCATACTGTATGTCAGAGAAAACCCATCTGTTACAAGATATCTGGTCTCCACATTCGCCTTTCATTTTTTGCAGGTATTGTGTATTTGAAGGGGGAAAACAAGACCTCCTCAAGGTGCACCCATAAATCTGGCCAAGATTTATTTTTATTTTGATCCTTCTCCTTGGGTACTTAAAGATGACTGCAGGGCCTACGCGTTCAGTTTTCTCTCTGTCGGTGGCAAAGAGAGACATTTTATGAAAGCAGTAATTATTTTGCTTAGGTACAGAATTCACTGATCAAAGGATGAAGGGTGTTTTGCTGTTTATTGCTGTGATGGGTTTCACCTTGGCAACTCAATTATTAATTTTTATTTTTTGGACTCTCGCAAATGAGAGCAAGACACCCACCTTTATGCACAGTATGGTATGCCTGCATATCGAAGTGGGGAGGACCAGTTTAGCTATGTCATGGGATAAAATGGGCTTTTATACTTTGCCTTAAGAAAAGGGAGGGGTTCCTTAACCTTTCTTTGTTATATTTATTTTATTTTATTTTATTTTTGGTAATCCTTACCCTAAGATATTTTTCCATTGATTATTTTTAGAGAGAGTGGATAGGAGGGCAAGGGACAGAGAGAAACATCAATGTGAGAGGGAGAAACATCAATTGGTTGCCTCCCGCATGGGCCCTGGGGATTGCCTGCAACTGAGGTATGTGCCCTTGACCGGAATCAAATTCGGGACCCTTCAGTCCTCAGGCCATTGCTCTATCCACTGAGCCAAACCAGCTAGGGTTCAACCTTTCTAATCTTTAGTGTCATCATCAGTAAAATGATGGTAGCAATAATAGTGTTTGCCAATAAAGTGTTGTGTCTAGTAAGATACTATAGGTTAAGTGCTTGTCGCCCAGTGTGGCTCAGGTTAAGGATCAGATCAACATCAGCTGTTGTTGCTGGACACAGTCAGGGTCAAGTTTTAGACTCAAGTCCTGGCAAAATATTTCTGGATTTTACGATGCTACCAAAAGGATATGCACTGAGTAGGAATTGTGCTTCGGATTTTGAATGTTGATTTTTTTCCCAGGCGAGCAATGGGCAGTAGGATGCTTTCTTGTGATGCTGGGCAGTGGCCCTGAGCTCAGCTCCTGGTCAGCCCCGTGATCACAAGGGTCAACCAGGACACCCTGCAGTATAGCCAGTGTGTTAGGTGATTCTGCCCCACGGGGGGCTGATGGGAGTGTTCTGAGCACATGTCAGGTGGGCTAGGCCAGCTCCGATGTTCAGATTGTTACTTTCAAGTTCACGTGGGTTTATCAGAAGGCAGCCACATCCTACCTGGAAGAGCATCCTTAGTGCATGAGATAGCACGGCTTTATTCATGTCGCTGCCATGACATCTCCCCAATCAGTTGTCTCGAACCCCCAAGACATAAAGAAAAAATGATCCCAGAACTGTTTTTGCTGCCTTCACAGCTTGCGTCTTGATTTATATACGGCAGTGGGACTCCCAGTCCTCTGGGTTCACCCTTATCAGCAGGCCAGCAAAGAGCAACTTCCCGGTCTAATTGCCCTTCTGTTTATAGCTTCCATTTTAATAAAATGTTCATGTAAAGGGTGTAGCATTTTCCAGGTAGGTTCTCTTTAAAAAGAAAAAAAAATTAAGTGACTCCAGTCACTTAGTAGCAAGCAGCTGTGTTTTTGCTTACTTAAAGAACCTGCTTAGCAAATGCATCCGAACAAAATCTCTTTTGTACGAACTCCCAAAGAAGACA